TGATGTTCACTATCTACTACGTGAGAAAGAATAGTGCTGTTGATCGATTTAGTAACTCCTTTTTCCAACCATGCTAGCACATGTTCACGAACACGCAAAGATAAAGCCTTCTGAGTACAGCCTATGAAACTAGCTTCACAGGAGCAATTTATGAATTTCTTACGAATTCTATTTTTAAACCTTTAACTAGATGAAATCATTATTTAAAAAAGGGAAATACTGATTTTTAATATAATCCGGCATTTGTTTGCAACCTTTCCTTTCGTTAATGTAGATAATCAGCAATAAGAAATACATTAGATGTATTTTACATTTAGGAAATAATTATAAATCTAATGGTAGCTCCAGCACAATTTATTCGATTTTATGGTGTAAAAGTGCGTCATGCCCAGCAACTAATCTGTCTGTATTGTTATTATCCTTCACATAATCAAAGATTAGTTCATATTCAATTATCATTCAGAACTAATATAAGCTGATCATTAATTACCCATTGAAACATTAAGTTTCTAACCTGGTTTCTTACTTTTGTATGCTTATTTTGAATGAAAGATTGGATGACATTTAAAGTTTGGTATTCAGGTGAATGACACAACACATATTTATAGACTATTCATAGTGTTTTATAATCTTGAAACTGATGAAATATATTCCATGTTTTATAACATTTTGAAGTATATTAAATGGTGATCTAACCTTAATCAATTCATGGTCTCAATCAAAAACTCAACAATCTCCACAACCTCATACTGATAAATGTCTCATTTAGTTTTTGATATTTCTAATAACTGAACACAAATATTTCATATTTGGAGATTGATGGAAAAATTTGGATCATTAAATGATCCCTGTGGCTTGAAAATGAGTTAGAATAATGGTGATAAGTAGTTCAAGCAACTTCTTATACTGATCATCGCTAACTATTCATCAGGTGATTAACAAAAGTAAATACAATTTTGTATTTTGGATTTAAAGATTGCGTACCAGATGAGATTGGAAAAAAATCAAAATTATACTGTGTCCTCTGTTAGGACAGCTTCCGAGAACTACAACCAAGTCTTCAGAGGCCCTAAAGGAGCCGAAGAGTTTCCATTCATTCAGAACGTGATGGAACATTCTAGTCTATCAAAGCGCCACGCTACTATTGGACAGTAGTATAACATACCTCTTTGAGGATTACCTGAATTATCATGTTGATATAACAAACGCTAATATCTAAAAGTATCCATAATTTTCCGTATGTTTAGATTCTTAGCCAAAAGGCACTTCTCCAGTCTTCTTATGTCTTCTGATTTGCAACTATGGGGTTCTATACGGTTGAGTGTCGTAGTTGTATGCCGTATTCTGCGTTAATCAAGTAGCGAACTTAATATCCTCTATTTAATTAACTATGAAAAGTTTCTTTTTATCTTACTATAGTTTGTAATAACAAAAACCATATCAAAGACATTGGTTTATATTAAGTTCGTTGCATCATGAAACATGTAGGTAGTTTAACAAAATTCAGGATATAAAAAGTGTAGTTTAATGATCATAACTCCAATTATTTCAAATATATCATAATCATTCTTTAAAAAGTACATTGCACGTTGTTCGTATTCCTGAAATAAAAAATGAATAGTACACGGTTAGCTATAAAATGTATGGATCATCCTGCAACTACACGGATTACATTTGTCAGTAATTATAAAACCGGGTTCAATTATCTGATTAGCGTGTATTCCAGTATAGGTATCAGATTACAGTTTCGATATCCTGAGATTTTTAAGGATGGCGACCCAGTATTAGCAGTGAGATTGACTGAGGTCTTAGGTAGAATTTGGGAAGTGGACGTAATCCCATCTGACTGGTCTCAATCACTGATTGTACCAGTCTATAAGAAAGGACAAAAGTCCTCTTGTGACAATCACAGAGGAATCAGTTTGACTAATATAGTGTCTAAAATATTAGCTTCAATAATACTTCGACGCCTAAGCAAAGTTAGTGAAGAGCAGACTATGATGGTTTTCGACCTGGACGTGGTTGTATAGACCACATATTCACACTACGTCAGGTTCTAGAACATAGACACACATTCAGACGCCCCACAATCGTAGTATTTCTCGACCTTAAAGCAGCATTCGACTCTGTTGATCGTGAGGTTCTATGAAAGTGTTTGTCACTGAAGGGAGTACCAAAGACGTACATTAACCTTATAAAGGCTCTCTACTCGAACACAACTGGTCGAGTGAGAGCTTATGGCGAACTGTCATCAGAATTGATTGCCTCAAGTAGTGTTCGTCAGGGCTGCCCACTATCTCCATTCTTGTTTAACTTTGTCATTGACGTACTTTTAGAGATAAAACTTTCCTCATCTAAATTTCCAGGAGTTGAACTTCTACCAGGAGGTTCACTTGTTGACTTAGAATATGCCGATGACATGATTTTATTTGGTGAAGACGCTAACAAAATGCAGTCTTCTGACCACTCTAAGCAACAAAACTAGCATGTTCGGGATGCGATTCTCTCCCTCGAAATGCAAAATGTTGCTTCAGGATTGGGTTACATCGACACCCGAACTAGTGATAAGGAGTGAAGTAGTTGAGTGTGTCGACCACTTCACTTATCTTGGAAGTCTCATCAGCCCTTGTGGTCTGGTGTGTAACGAAATCTCAGCACGGATACAGAAGGCTCGACTAGCTTTTGCCAACTTGCGTCATTTATGGCGTAGGCGAGATATCCGTCTATCAACCAAAGGACGTGTTTACTGCACGGCAGTTCGTTCCGTCCTACTTTATGGCTGTGAAACGTGGCCGGTAAGAGTAGAGGATATTCGTAGGTTACTAGTATTCGATCATAGGTGTCTTCGAAACATTGCTCGTATATCTTGTGACCATCGAGTAAGTAACGCAGTTGTTAGGAAACGGGTACTAGGTAAGGATGGCAAATCAATTGATCAAGTGGTGAAACTTCATCAGTTGAGATGGCTGGGACACATGTTACGTATGCCCAACCACCGACTGCCTTGACGTGCGATGTTTTGTTGTATAGGAGTAGATTGAAAGAAAGCTAGGGGCGGCCAGACCAAAACATGGCACAAGTCCATGAAGTCACTGACAAGTGGACTGAGTCATATTGGTAGGTGTAGACTACCTGGTTGGGGACCGCGAGATGATAGCAACCGATGGTTAGAGACCCTGAATGACATGGCTCAAAATCATCCCATTTTTTCTCTTTCCAAATTCATTTCACTGGATTACACTCCTTCACTAATATCTTCATAACATAATCGTTCCGATGACTGCTTATACTTTTAATACCTCTGTCATTACAGGATTCGAATCGACAGTCGTATCACTGTGCAAATATGGTATGGCGACTCGAACTGATGTACGTACGTACGATGTTATACGCTGTTGCTGACTGACTGGCTGACTGACAGTTTCGATACAACAACACAGGAAATTATGTTGGTATTTGAATAAATCGTGTTTTTTTCTATTTATCATGACGTTAGTAGCTTCAAGACATCATTTCGGATGTACTTTGTATACTTATGATAAACTATCAGGGATCACAATGTGGGCTAAACTAGATTTTAAAAAATTTCTCAATAAGATGGTGTATTCTGACGAAAGAAATACTATAATTCCTTTTTGTGAACTCCTATCATCATTCTCTGTAAACATTTAGTATGATATTAGAAATAAGAAGCTCTATAAATAGTCGTATACTGAATAATGTCGCCAAAGTTATTGGTAGCAGATATTTGTACTTTTTGAATACATTTGTTTGTAAACATACGATCTAACATTAAACCGTTGAACTAGTCACTATGCCGCATTATTTGAGTTTCATGGTTTATAGCCTTTACACAACATTGTATAAATTGATAATTCAATTCAAAAGAAATTTGAATAAACACATAAAGTTACGTAATGTTGTTTGAAAGAATAGATTCTTGTCCATAGATCGTATAGTCATCTACACATTTCTCTTATAATTATAACTTGGTAAACACTTCATACCCTTACATATAGGATTTTGCTAACATTATTATTATACTACTTATAATCACACAACCTCACATCGGTTTCTACGTTCTAGTAATTGAAACTCATATTTATTCTGTTTATACAATTCTAGAAATTCTTTCTTCCGATCAAACCTCATTGTGATTATATTTTGGCAAAAAGACAATTTATCCTAAGGTAAACTACGTATTTAATTTTTTTAAGGAGTTAAGTCTACAATATGACAAACCTTTATAAGTTACAAAACCATCGAAATCCATAGAAACTCAGTCAAATAGCAATATATAGTAATCATAGTTATTTAACTAACCTCTTCCGATGCTTAGGTCAGCTATAAATAAAAATGTTCAATATGTTTAACAAACTTGCTACCAAGTTGAATACAAAAGTAAGTAATTTTATTTGTTATCAGAAGAGGGTTTTTTTTAATTCAAGAGTGAATCTATGCTAAACCACCATCGAAAACCTGAAGGCACTGGATGACCGTTCCGTCCTATTGTGGAACTACTCAGCAGTATGCATTCACGAACTCGCCTCGCGAGATTCGAACCCAGAACCTATCAGTCAATTATAAGAGTCAATTATAATCTAATACTCTATGATAGGTTCTAACTTTGCCTAAATGCAATCGATTTAACTGTAAGACGTTTTGTGATTTCTTAGTTATCATCTCTAATTGAGGCTTAAACATTCGATATCCTATTAATATGAAACTATTACAAATTTAATTATTCATCACCTACATATATTTACGGCTAGTTATTATGGTAAGTATTATTATTATTAGCTTTATGCAATATTATATTCTTGGTGCAACATAGAATTCCCAGCACAAAGTATCTCAGCAAGTATCTTACTCATTGGTCAATCCTGACGATAAATATTGAGTGGTCACCAGTCATAAGTTAGCGTTTCAGAAATCGATATCTGAATAATGTGCACTCTTTTCGATGCGTATTGCCAAAAATCATGATGTCTCTGATTAGACTTTTTTGTAACTTGTATAACGCAAAGTTGTATACTTTTCATAAAGGCACCTGAATAGATTAGCTGAACAACAAACATAATGGTTTGTTAAAACCAATAAGGAAAGAGATAATTTGTTGAAATATCTAGATGACAGGAACAGGTAGCCCAGATATTCTAGCAGGCCACTAATCGACTTCTGAATTACTTACATGGAAAGCTAGAATAAACAGTGTAAAGAAGTACGTAATTTCGCAGCAAGAAATTTACACAATATAACTTATTATTGTACACGAAACTATTTCTGTGGTTTGTTCATACATTTATACAAAAACATGTTCTGATTATAAGTATATATTATCATCTTCATTAGTATAATCCCTCTTGAGTTAGAATAAGATATTTTGAGGAACTTCATTGTAATTACACAATCAAGTGTTATGATACTGAGAGTTTCGAAATTTCGATGGTCAACTTTCGGTTTAGACCTTCAATTAAGAACTACTTATCAATAGATTTCTATTGTTTTGTGTATTGTTAAACATTAAATCGATTATAAGAATGTGGATTTGTGGAGATTGTAGTAATTTTAACAGTTAAATTAATTATCTACACATGTTTCGTGTTTCAGAATAAATCTAGGAACTAAATTGGAAGCTTGTACGTCAGTTTTACACGAATTAGTTTCTTCGAAACTGATTAAGCACTTTTAGAGAAATTCATTTTGTATTGGTTGTTTCAATATTCCTCTTGATTTTTACGACTGTAATTGATTAGTCTCGTTTTGGCATATGTAGATCCTGAACGGATTGCTTTGATATTACCTTAACTCACAAGTATTATGAGCCGAGATGAATGGTGGCTAGCAGTGGAGTCAAGGACGCGTATTTCATCACACTCATTACTCGTCAGCTGGATGTACTTGCTGCATCCCTAGACTAAGCGGATAACGCGATGGTGTTTGAAGACAGTGGTACTGAGTGCGAATCCTGGAGTGAACATCAACTCTGAGATGGAGTTGTATCCAGATGATAAGTCTCAAAAACAACGAAATACGCGTCCTTTCTTCTTCTGCTAGCCAAAATTCATCTTTACTTTTAAGGTTTAAGAAGATGTACAATTCTTATGGTTTTCAAATCAATACATTTTGCTTTACATATACTAGCAAAGTAGCATAATTATATAATCGTTGTCTTGTTAACTTACTCAGGCTGAAACGAAAAAAATTATTTTAATGATTAGTTATGCAGTTATATCACTAATAATAATCCGAATCAACGTAGCATAAACTGATCAATGTATAATGTAGTTGTTGGTGCTTGTTCTTTGACAGTGATATTTTAATTAGCATATATGACACAAATATCATCAGTACTTACGAAACGGATGTTCTGTAGAGTTAGAAAAAAGTTAGTTTCAGAGATTAATTGTAAAGTTAAATAAATATCTGTTAAATCAGTTTTCTTTTATATGATGTCTATAAAGTAGGATACAGTAACCAAAATATATCTGGATAACAATTAGATTTTTGTTCAAAGAACAAACTATGAGTTCCAGTACTTTTCTTCATGTTCATAAATGTAGAAGAGATGTATATAATTTATGAACAGTTTATAAAGTTATACTGATGCAGACGCAATGGCAAGGATGAATAAAGGACAGCATTCCTATAATTGAAAAACATGGAAATCAAAACAACTATCGAATGTTATAGATCTGTCTGAATAGGCTTTTATTAAGCTTATTTGATCACCTCGGTCTTGACATCAGGCTAATTCAAAACGTCATGAATATCAAATAATAAAATCATGATTTTTAGTTATTGTCAGGTTAAATGCATTTAAACATGCTTAGGTTTATTACATTGATTGTGTATATATTAGAAAGAAGTCTGACAATCATACGGTATTTCACAGTTAATAGAAACGGTGGTTACATGTTTTGTATATATTAGGCTAAATGATAGACACTAACACCATCGGATGCCGGCTCAGTGGTCTAGTTGGTTAAGCGCCTGGTGCGAGACCGATAGGTCCTGGGTTCGAATCTCGCGGGGAGCGGGATCGTGGGTGCGCACTGCTGAGGAGTCCCATACTAGGGCGAAACGGCCGTCCAGTGCTTCCAGGTTTTCAACGGTGGTCTAACATCAGTTGATTCATGATCTTAATCAAAAATAAATGATAGAAGCTTAATTATTTGAAACCCTATAGATTATATCTAAGTTGTTAAAGTCGAGATTGGCTAAACAACGGCGTAAAAATAGCCCTTAGTTGGTAATATAGATATATTTTTATATATAAGCATTTATCTAAATATCTCTTCTTACAACACTGTGAATGCCTTCCTTAGCATTTGTATCTAATTGATCAAAGTCAAATAAGACCAATATCTACATGTTACAAATATTTATCAATATCCTTTGATACATTTACGACAATTCACTGAGACAATGATTAAAAACGCTCAACTGATCAATCGCAGTCCTAAAAATCAATGGGAAGGTTCAAATAAAACAATAACAAATGAATTAAGCTTCACTCCGTCGCACAAGCAAGTGGTTATGAGGACTCAGTAGTTAAGTGGACAGCGTGATGGCGTTTGAAGCGAAAGGTACTGGGTTCGAGTCCCAGAGTGAACACCAAATCTGAGATACAGGTACATCCAGCTGACGAGTCCCAAATAAATTGAGACGCGCGTCCTGGATTCCACTGCTAGCCACTATCCATCTTTGCTCATTATATAAATGTCTTAAAATAAATGAACAATTGATGGATAAAATATTCGTTCAGAACTCATATAATTAAAAAAAACGAGTATTCAGGTGGGGAAATTACTGTGCTTCTTGAAACTATACATTATTTGCACATCTACCTTCAGTTGTCTTTTACATACCCACTTATTCCTCTAGTTCTGTTGTTATCACAATTGCTCTCTGTTTGCTTTCTTATTCCCTTTAATACAATCTTCTACTAGCAGGTATTCCAATCATGATTACTGCTACATACTACTTATATCTGTCAGCATAAATAGTATACACCATAATATAACAATATTTTTTGTGCAGTTGTAAATTAACTTTTAAGACAATAAAACTTTTTCTAGCCCATTCTACTTACGTCTTGTCAACTAGACCCACTATAATATTGAAGAAAATTGAAAGTATCAGCAATAATATAGCAAACATCAATACATTATAGAAAGCTTATATATAAATCCTTTTGAATTACAACTTATAAAATAAATAAGAATATACTTAATAGAAATCACCATTTTAAAAAAACGCTGTATAAATTAATAGGTGTGGTAATATGAAAACTACTTTCTGACCTATGAATATGAACTACGTAATTTTGTTCATTTTATTAAACACATTAGAAGTGAAGATGGATAATGGCTAGCAGTGGAATCCAGTAAGCGCGTTTCCTTTTATTTGGTGTTCACTCTGGGACTCAAATCCAGTACCCTTCACTTCAAATGCCATCGCGTTTTCCACTTTGTCCTAGGGTGAAAATCAACTCTGAGATGCAGGTACATCTAGCTAACGAGTCCCAAATAAAACGAAACGAGCGTCCTAGATTCTACTGCTAGCCATTATACATATTTCCTTATAAAGTGTATGGTTTGTAATTTGGAATATAATGTATTTTCTTGTGAGATATCAACTCTCAGCACTGTTGAACAATCTATATCTCTGATTATTTATGCTTTATTCGCAGAAATTTCATGTTAATATAGAGGGTTTATATAGAGTGAATCTTGTTGCTGAACAAAACCTGTATATTTTTAATCTTATTTGCACAAAGCAAAATATACAACCAGTATGGAAAGTTGCTGAATGCAGATCTTTCATTCATTTTTAGGTTGTAACTTATTACTATACATTTATATGAAAGAGAATTCAATATTTTGTTTGCATTATGTCTAATGGTGTATAAAGATAGAATTCAGTGATTGATATTTATCATACTATTAAAAAAAGTAAATCAACTATAATAGTCTTGTACATTACTACACATTACTGGCTATTTCAATGTATAAGATGACAATTGTTACGTAAATAGACATTTTGTATTGTTCACTTATAAAATATGGGACACACCTAACTAACAATTGTGATAAACAGAATAATCAAAGTATAGAGTGGTTACAAAGCAAGACCTCTGTGATGTGTACATCTTCATACATGTGTGTACTATGTGTTTATTGTTTATTTTTGTTGTGTTTTTTACTGTACTACACCAAATGTTGCGCCTGTAATTCATCAATTCAGTCAATAGAATACAAGGAACTTACAAAGTCTTTGATTTTGAAAAGAAAACAAAAAGAATAACCGAATTTAATTATAATCAAGATAATAAAGATGGGAACATTATCAAAAATTACATTTTTTATATGCAAATTCACCTCTTTCAAAATGAATACCTACTTTATTAAACAATCAGTAATAATAGTCTAAATCCATTTAATATTGTTCTCTTGAATCCTCCCATTGATGTTTAAGATTGCAGTTGATCATTCTGTTACTGGCATATGTGTATCCATGCGTATTGCGTCGATATTGCCTTAATTTTCAAGCATTATATGCAAAAATGTATAATGGCTAGCACTGAAATCCAGGACGCGTGTTTTTTGGTTATCAAGACTCAGTAGATAAGTGGATAACGTAATGGCGTTTGAAGCGAATGGTACTGAATTCGTGTCCCAGAGTGAATATTAACTCTGAGATGCAGGTACATCCAGCTGATGAATCTCAAATTGGTTGAAACGTGCGTTCTGGATTTCACTGCTAGCCACTATCCATTTGTGCTTAGTAATAATAGTCTGTTTTTCAAATACTCTTATAAGCAAAATGATGGTTATTAGAATCTCCCAATATGCTATATTCGCTGAATATCAAAAACATTCAGGTATTATGTATAGAAAACCCCCAAAAATCGCATTTCGGCTACATCGACTAAAATATGTTGTGACATTTACATTGCACGGGTATATATGAGAAACATATGTATATTATATTAGTTGTTCAACGCATTCATCAAACTGTGATAGTATTTCTTTCTGATATAAACCAACCTATATGTATATCTGTACCGACAATATTTGTCACAGAGGCATTGGTTTCTTCATCATTTGTGGTTTATATGTTATAAATTACATATGTCTGATTTAGCACACAGATATACGAATAAACAATACAATTGTGTATTCAAAATAATGATCCTGAAAGCGTCCATGTTTAAGTCAAATACGACATTTAAAATTGTAGCATATTAATTTAGAGATTGTTTACAAAACATCATAAAATTGTTGATGTGTGTTGATAACTAATATGAAAGTTAAACCTGATTAAGTTTATGATAAATAAAATTGTAAGACAATTGATTAGAATAAAGATGGGTAACATGGGTAACGCCTACAAATTGAAAATGATGTACCCAGTGAAATGTTAACGCTAAAGTTGTACAGAGCAATTCAAAGAATCATCAATGCAGTGAAACTACATTTAATCTTTTCTACATATCCAATGGTCGCTGAAATATTGAAAGATAAATTAACTAGATTAAACCCTTCTATATTTATCAATTCAACTGATCATATCAAATAAGTTATATTGGCAGAAGTTCTAGGAACGTGTAGTTTTGTTTTCACGAGCATCTGCTATTAAGGTCAAGTTGAAGCATAGTTAAAACTGTTAATACATTGATTCTTGCTCATTTAGTACAAACGAGTAATCTGCTATAGTAATATATCGTGTTAACAAATATCTACTCAAATCCATTATACTCAGAATCCTCCAAACGGCCGAAGTAATACTTATTTTAAGTGAAAAGTCGGAGCTGTGAATTGGAAAGAAATAAGGTCAACTGTTTGTTTTACCTTTGCCAACTTCTGAACTAATTAGATAACAATCATGTTGATAATATGGTAAAGTAATTTTGTGGTGTATGCTACTTATGTCGACAGATATAAGTAGCACGTATAATCAATCGAAAAAGAAATGTCCGGCCATAGAACGTTAAGATCAAAGAAAAAAGAGAACGAGAATAGAGAATGATTGGTACATGATTCTTGAACAAATATTCCTTTCGATTTGCAATTATATCATTATCTGTCTCACCAAATGTTAAGCATCTTTATTTTGACTTTTAATCTTACAAGTTCATTTAAAATATGAACTCATTCAGATTAAAATTTCATATTAGTCATCATTTTATGAATAATCCTAAGTTCAGCTGACGAATCCCAAATAGAACAGAATACTCATCCTGGATTCCACTGCTAGTCATCATTCATCTCTGCTTATAATATCAAAGCAATCCGTACAAGATGCAGATATGCCAATAAGAGACTAATCAACTGCAGTTGTAAACATCAATAGGGATATTCAAACAACCAATACAAAAATAAATTAATCATAGCTTCATATAGTACAATTTCAAATGATGTATTTGCCTTAGATCTGGCTAATTTTATGGATTATTAATTTAGATAATTAATTGTAGAATCCAAAGAGAATTTATTAAAAACAATATCTGGTTTTATTCATAATGCCGATGTCCTGAGATATTTTTCACAAATAATTTGTACCAATCAAATAATCTTTTCGATAGAACAATGAGAAGACAGAGTTGATCAACTCCGTTTTAAACATGATACATTTTCAACGGATTGTAAGATCTCATCAAGGATTTTTACTTACTTTTGGATGAACTCGCCTAAAATGTTGAAATGCAAATATATTAATATTTAATTTTAATAGTTGAGATCATGAGCCAATTGAAGTTATATCACTATTGGAAAAGCTGGAAACACTGGACAGCCGTATCGTTCTACTGTGGGACTTTTCAGCAGTGCGCATCCACGACCTCACCTGGCGGGATTCAAACCCAGAATCTATCAGTCTCGCGCGAGAGCTCTTAATCATTAGACCACTGAGCCGACATCCAACGGTTGTCCAGTGCTTCCACGTTTTCCACGCTAGCTTCAATCGACTCATGATTTCAACTAATAAAATTACTATAATATCCACAAAACGCCTTCTGACAAGGCTATTTAGTGTTGTATACTGAATACTCAGGATAACGTGAATAGATTCATGTAATCATTATTTAATTAACTTATAATCAATAATCAATCAATCTTAAACCGTTAGTAACGAAGTCAGTTTGTTGAAACTTTCGGCCATTACTCAGATTCACTAAGATACTAACGAAATCAAGCATCTTACTAAGGCTTATGTGAACGATTTAATGGGTATTAGTTGTTATTCTTGCTTTTCATAAAAGAAAATCTGATAAGATCCTAGGCATTGTGTGAAGATTTACAGCACATTATCCGCATAGTTTGAGGTTTTTGAAAAAATAATTCTTCTTCACCATAGCCTGAGGGTTGATAATCACTAAATACCGGTCAAATTGAGATCGGTTTAAAATTATATGATGCATAATAAATTATGGACGGATTGTAAATCATCACTTCGTTTACGATTTAGATTGTTGTTAAACTACGAGTCTAATCATATTAAGTAATTTCTTTCTTGAGACACATTGGTATTAATATGTAGTGTTAGATCCGATTAATGATAAAACTGCTTTCGAACACCGATTACGTTGCACACAGTTTGTTATAGTTTACCGAATATTACATATTCGTCATAAATGAAACTATATCACTATAAATTTATCATTCTATCAACGTATCATTAATATTCAGATTATAGCAGCATTAAGATATTTCGGTAGAGAGATTTGTGTGAAGAGTCATTTCAGAGTTACAGAGTTCGTAGTAAAAGTGTTTTATTAAGTATTGCTGTAAAAATCTACATATGGTTTTCAAAAAACGTCTTTAATATGTAACTTTCATGCATTTACTTCGAATGTTTACACCATTATACTAATATTCAGATATATGAAAAGGGATAAGCAACTGTTTTTCTGATTTTTCGATTAATAAGATATTCAAACTCGACACTTCATGAGACCTGCGTCTTCAGACATGCCTAGTCAAACAGATTTATCAATTTTATTCTGACCTTCACAATAAAGCTAAACATATTGTGACAAACGTTAATATTATGCGTAAACGAGTTAATTATATTCGTCTCAATTCAGTTCATGGTGGCACTAAAGAATCATAATTAAACATCTTGGATTAATCTTTCCGTCGAAGTACAATGTTGTTTAACTAAGATTTAAGTAATATGTAAAACAAACACTATAAACCTCATGGAAAATCAATCTCAGTCGAGTCCTAAAGAACGTTCTTACTTGACTACAGCGCTTTCTTATGAGCATAATACATATTTAAAGATTTCATTTTGAACTGACTGAGACAGCACTGGTAGATGAAAACACAACCGTTTATTCAGAGAACAGTCAATGATTAATACTAGTCTTTCTTACTGTGAGGACCGAAAACTTTTGTTAGCAGACCTAAAAGACAATGCAGCAGAACAAAATACATAGAGCATTATTTTATTATTTAGATTAAAGAAAGGAATGTAACAGTGAAAGTCTTATTTATTCATTTTAACTATGGCATTCAGTTAACGATTTGCTCATACAATAATGATAAAAAAAATAAAATACTTTGCATGAGTAAGATTCACCAACCCTATATTAGCAAACTACTTTTAAAGATTCAAGTAATTCAGTAATAGTAATCTTGAATAAGACAATAATCTAAAAAGCCTAGTTATAATTTCAACAAACTCCTGTTTTGCCGGATAATAATCTTTCAACGATAAAGATCTGTAAACTGTTAGTTTTAATCATCGGAATGGAGGTTATGGAGATTGTCGCGTTTTTGATTGAGATCATGAATAGATCAATGTTAGACCATCACCAAAAACCCTCAAGCACTGGACGACCGTTTCATCCTAGCGTGAGACTCCTCATAAGTGCGCGTCCACGGCACCTCATGAGGGATTCGAACCCAGGACCTTTGGTCTCGCGTGTGAACGCTTAACTTCTCCACCACTGAGCCGGCATCCAATGGTGTTAATAGTTTAATATTGACTATTTTGAAATGTGATAAAATAAAATTTAGGTTCGTTCTCAGATATTTTCTTAGTCGCCAATTATTCGCAACAATGTAGTAATATAAGTTTCTATAATTGATTTAACATAGAAAATAATCATCCACATAAAATTATAAAACTTCTTAAAATGAAAGAATGTTTTATGTATTTAGCAATTCTGTTGTACAAATATTTGGCGCCATGTATTTCTTTCTCAACCATCTCACTTTAAACAAAATAATACAAAAGTGTAGTGAACATATACTGCTCAATAGTTCTATACTAAAATGAATTAGCTTTCTACAAATTGAGTCCTGACATCATTTCGAATTAGATTTTCATATAAATAATAGTTACAAAGTATTTTACAACTTGTCTACATAAAATGAACAATCGAACTTACTAAGCAAATAAATGAGCCAGTCACGAAGTTTGGTAGTCCCTGTATCAAAAATAATTAATTTTAAGTAATAATGATTTATTTTGTTCAGTTCAACTACAGTTCATTAACATCTCTGGATTATAGTGTAAATTAGACTTTAGTTAAGCCAATTAATGTAGGCTATTTCATGCCTTAACAGAGTTCTGATTGTGATGTGTACATTGTGAACGTTTACCAACTTTCATACACAAAGTGTATGTTTAACCTCTTTGAAATATTACAATTCATAATTTGATGAATATAAGAACAATCTAACAGATCAAAGATCATTCACTTGCTGAATAGTATAGATCATCACAAAACTTATTATTACTATCAAAAAATGAAAGTGTGTTTGCTTACTATTGATAAAATAGATACTACTTTCAAGGGGTTTATCTTCACATGACATAAAGATCTACTAATAAAGAATTTACTATCAAAAGGTGTTTTGTTTTTCTTCTTTTACTCCATACAAACTTTTATTCCAGTGAAGATAATACAATCGAAACTATATTGATAGGTGAGCACCATCTGTACTAAACAAACCACAATTGTTTCATAACTTCATTAACAATAAGATGAAATGGCCGTCCAGTGCTTCCAGGTATTCCATGATGGTTAAGCTTCACTTGACTCATGATCTCAACCATTAATAAGTATTATTTCATAGATATATTTACAATAGTAGATTTAATTGAATACAAATACAAGCACTTACAAGACCTAATCAAATAATAAGTAAAAGAAAGTACCAGTTATTTACAGTCAATATACCTTTAATAGTTGTTCGCTCAAAATATTCTTAACGTATTCGTTGTATTTAATTCATTTGATTAATGTAAAATCATTGGTACATAATCAAAAGGTTAATAATAGGCTATTATTAGAGGTTATAATAGTCAAAACAGTACTGTTTAGTATACTACCAGTATCGTCTCATGTATTGATGTGGGACTGAGTAATTTTAATTATGTGATACAAAAAGCTACATGGAGTCAAGGTCATAGTTCACTCACCCTGAACTCACAACAGGTGTAACTTCAGCTGAAATTCCATTATTGAATAAAATATCAGTTAATAACCTCCAGTAAACAGTATTTGTTTACGTTTTTACATTGTTAAAATGTAGCTATTATATACACATATAGTGAACACCTATAATTAAATTATAATTTCTTAATGAAACCATCATCATCAAATGCTTTATACACTTATTAAACTTCTGTGTTAAGTAATTAGATTTTTACACAAATCCGATTTTCGACATTATATGTTGTCAGGCTTAGGTTATTATTACCTGATCGTTGAACAAACAGATGTGAAAAAACCAAGCGTCAGTAATATATCTCTTTTAGTATTCTTTATGACCCTCAAATGCCCTAGTGCAACCGAGAGTGGAGAGAGTCCGCCCTCCCTCTCGAAATCCTATCACATGGTCACGCGCATAAAACCACTACCAGGGAAGTCCTACTCACTACATTCGCATAGCGAGGGTGTTGTTTATGAAATTGAGAGGATAAAAAGCGAATGTCCGGCGATTTAACCGGGTTGGTGAACACGAAGTGTTCACCTAGGGGAGTTGGAAAACCATGATTCCAAACCAATGGTGCACATGGGCTGCAGGATCCTAAAAAAATAAATTGTGTATGAACCAATTATTGGTCACGGGCTACCATGAGATTGCATCTCCTCATGTTGCTCCACTTCCTTGTGGATCAGATTTCCATATCGAAGGCTCGGCATGTGACGTCGTTAGAAAACCACCTGCTTCGGTTTGGTCACCTGGGCAATATGCCAGCCCTCACACAAAGTGGATAATTTATGTGGCGCATATCTATTTGGTACCTCCTTGTATCAATGTTTATATATTTAAATGAATAAATAAGTGCATATACACTGAATTAATTTTAACCCAGTAGTCTTAGTTAATGATAAATTAATCACTTACATAACAATGATTATAATTTGTACATATACATATATAATATAATTTAAATGTTGTAGAGATAAAAGTACTTACATGCACTGGATAGGTGATTAGCAAAAACAATTATCATGAGTTAGTACTACTTTAGTCCGAGCTGAAGTAATCATGATCTCACATGTCTGTAGAGTTTACTGACGTATAGTACAATATCTAGTGATTATAATATCATTATGCAAAAGACCAATACTTTAATCAACACATAACTGTATTGGTTGTCGTTTAATATTGTTAGATTTGTTCATTATTTCTAAGATATCACTAAACGTTCCTTTTTACAATAGCACATACATTTCATTGGCAAACATTCTGAAGCTCCGTATTCCTTTCTATTACTTCATACATTTGGGATATAATTAGCAAATCTTTCGGATATCGATTTCACAAATTCATAGTCTTAAACGAATGCTTACAACCAATGAATGAAATTCAACCAGTGTATTGTAGCATAGAGAACTCAAGTAAAGACATTTTATAAAGGTTCTTCATCGTAAAGTATATATACTTGAACACACTACAGTATATCCGGATGACGTATAGTGGCTTTCAACTGTATGGACCATGTCATAAATCTGTTATTTATAGGGGTTCCTACATGGACTCTGGTAGAGCGATTCGACCTTAATATATCAAGATGACGTGAAGTAGTCTGCAAAGTTTTACTGTCACCGTTTAAATACCTTCAATGTTGGCTGTTATGAAGCTATATGGATTGGCTTTGTATAATATCTTTTAGGACATAAATAGAAATACCTAATATAGTTCTTACAAAACTGTATTTTTATGATGCAAGATTTATATATTCCATGTAAATTCTTACGTCTAACTAACCAGTTATGCAAGCTGCTTTCTAATATATACTTCCAAAATATACGAACTTCTAAAGTGACCTCAGACAACTAAATGATAATTTCTATCATAGCGAAAGTTTTTGATATCCACTGGGTGATTTTAATAGTTAAAAGTGAACTGTTAGAGAATGGGTAAAAATACTGTGCGAAACAGTTACATTATTGATTGAGATCTTGAACCGATTGATATTAGACCAGCATCGAAAACCTGGGAGCACCAGACGGCCGTTTTGTCCTATTGTTGAACTCCTTAGCAGTGCGCATCCGGTGCTTCTATGTTTTCAATGGTAGCCTAACATCAATCGGTTCAAGATCTCAGTCAATAACTTAATAATCTCCACAACCCTATACTGATAGTTTCATTATTATTGGGCCTATTTATAAAGTGAAAAATCTGAAATATTGTGACTAAAAAGCTTCCAAGAAATCAATCCTTACTGTACTTACGTTGAATATGAGCCTATTGTAAACATAAAATGAAATGATTGACAACAAATAAATTGAAGTATTTCAAGTTTTAGATTAACTGTATTATTCGTTAAATTTCTCGAACATTGATTTAATAGTTGAAATCATGAATCAATTGAAGCTAGACCACCATGGGAAACCTGGAAGCACTGGCTCATGATTACTAAAATCTCCACAAAACCCTTTCTGACATTGAGTTAAATTTAAATAATATATTGAATATAGTGAGTATTTAAATTTTTGACTTACTATTATTCATATTTGTGAGGACTACAGAACCTAAAACACAAATACATGATCTACATGAAATCGAATTTGATAAATACATGTGTTGGAGACAAAATTTTTGATCTACTCCATCGACTCATGAGAAATCACCTGCAAAATGTTCTACAACTGAACTGTTGAACAGGCTTATAATCTCATTGTTAGGATGTTGCAACTTTTATGATCGACTTTTCTAAACTGAGTATAAACTTGTGATATAACTAACAGATGAAGAACAGCTGTATTCATATGCAGCCATTTGAAAATGTCAACCTTGGAATACTAAAAATAGATCTTATTAACTCAGAAATATTAGAAAATTCTGTAAAATTCAGAATTGCTTTCAAGTTAATAAATTGCTTCAAATGGTATATCATAATTGGCATCGAATATTATCGTAGTTGTTTCCAATGATTACTTGTCGTTATCAAATCATAACACGCTCAAACTGGTTTCTACAACGCTTATTTTACACACACAATGACTTAAGACCAGTAAGGTAAATCAGACTTTAAAATATACTTCAAAATGTAAAAATATAGGAACGTATAAGGTTATTGCAAGCGCATCCATAATATGTACAAGCGTTATGTCCTAATGATATCCATAGATTTATCAAGCTGCAGGTGGTTTTTTCTCAGTTTCAAGGGATAAACGCTCAGAAAGCGAACCTGTGGTTCTTTTTCAATTGTACATCTTTAGGACTTACAAGTAATTGTATAGCAAATATATTACAAGTAATTGAAGACTGAATGTTTACTTGGTGTTTTGGCAGACGAATGAGCATATCCTTGTAAAATGCCTAAAATCATAAATATAATAGAATATCAAGCATTTGCAATATAAATTGTATTGAATTATACATTTCAAATCATTTCCGATATCCAAAATCTTTTACAAAATGAGACAACTTTACAATAGTTCAAAAGATATTTCATACAGGATACCGAGACGTAAATATCAAACATTGTTAATTGTAAATTCACTCGAACATTTAATTGATGCTCAATCTAACATTAAACGTACAGTATTTGTCTGGTAGCTTCTCTACATTGTTACTAACATCTTATTTGTCATTTCAAAATCTTTCCTTTCAGTAGTGCTTTGAGTACGGTACTGAATAAAAGTGACATTTGGAAAAACAAGAATATTTCTCAGTGCTTTAACTAATAGGGATGCAAGATGAATACTGTCGACACTTTCCCATAGTAGGAAAGGGTCGAAAAGTGGATATCGGGACTCAGTAGCTAAGTAGATAATGTGATGGCCTTTGAAGTGAACGGTACTGAGTTCGAGTCCCAGAGTGAACATCTACTTTGAGATGCAGGTACATCCAGATGACGAGTCCCAAATAAGACGAAACGCGCATCATGGATTCCACTGATATCCATTATCCATCTTTGCATATTATGCTTGTGAATTAAGGTTATATTGAGGCAATACGCATAGTATACACATATGCCAATTACAGACTGATTAATTGCAGTCCTAAACATCAATGGAGAGATTCAAACAAACAATGCCAAGTGAATCGAAAAAAGTTTTTAGAAAAATTCCATAATCAGTCTTTTCAGAATATTGAAAATATTTCCTCAGAATATTGGCCCATTTAGTGCAAACCGGTCATAGTGCCAGTATAAACCAATCTTTTTCAATTGTTTATCGGGTCAGTAAATTTTTGCCAAGGCTTGTTAGACTTAAAGTCCTTCAAATGCCTAAAGCAGTATCCATCCGAATGAAGAAACCGGAGCTATGCGTACCGAAGAAATATCTTCAACCACTCCTCCTCACCTGGCCATTCCCAAGGCTTATTAATCAATAGTAATCTTAGCTGTTGAATAACCTAATTTGACTACGACCTTTCGTAATCAATTGTAATTGTCTGTTATCGTTACTCACAAATATTTGTATTATTATTATTGTTATTATTATTATTATTATTATTATTATTATTACTGTTGGTTAAACATCATTATTAATCTCCCCTATACATGATTCATTCACTTCGCATTCATCCCTCCTTATTACATCTTACTAATATTTCACACAATAGTGTCTTCCACTAAACATTCGGTCAAACATTTGATCGAACTGTAATGGCACTGTTATTTCCCTCACCCTATCTGACCAATATTTATTCTGATCATGGAATCCAGGACGTGCATTTCGCCCTATTTGGAACTCGTCAGCTGGATGTACCTGCAAGCCACTATCCATCTTTGCTTAAAAAGCTTATGACTTAAGGCAATCCGTACAGGATGTACATATGCCAACATGGGACTAATCAATTACAGTCTTGAATAACAATGGAAAGACACAATTAAAACAACACTAAGTGAAGATAGAAATAAAGTTTAAAGAATACCCACTCCCCCCAAAAAAAGATTGATATTCTTACCCAACAAAATAAATAGTAAAACCATAGTTGTATGATTAAACTGTTAAAATATTAAATATTAAATAAAGTATTTTATATTTGAATAAATAATTTGATTGGGTATTGGTTACATCACTAAACATGCTGCAATTTCATTGGCTATTAATATTTAATGATTCAACCAATGAAAAAAAAGATGTATGAGCTCTAATTTAAAATTTTCTTTAGTTTCCATGCCTTAAGGATGATTGGAAGTTTCTGGAGGCTACTGCCGGTCCCAAGCCCAGATAAAGGAGGAGGGTTGGGCATGGGGTTGGCGACCCCATCCCGTAGAAAACCAACTCGCTAAAAAAACGCTAACCAGAAAAAATTATTCAAACCGTTTAAACGCTGCCCCGGAAGTCAGAAGGTCTTCATTTAGAAGAATTATGACGCCTCATGATGAAAGCCGAATTCCTTCGGAAGTTACGAGGTCGATGCCCCTTCTGACAACCAGAGCAACCATTTATTTAGGTACATGGAATATTCGTACAATGTGGGACACCGGGAGAGCCTTCCAAATCGCTGCAGGAATGAGGAGTTACAACCTAGAGGTGCTCGGGATCAGTGAAACACACTGGACGCAAGTTGGACAACAACGACTAACTTCAGGGAAGCTTTTGTTATACTCTGGCAATGAAGAAGAAAATGCCACACATACACAAGGAGTTGCATTGATGCTGTCCAAACGAACACAAAATGCACTTATAGGATGGAAATCTCATGGACCAAGAATAATCAAAGCCTCCTTCAAAACAAAGAAAGACGGCATTTCAATGAACATCATCCAATGCTATGCGCCTACCAACGACTACAATGAAGACGCTAAAGATCAATTCTACAATAGGCTGCAGTCAATCGTCGAGAAATGCCCAACAAAAGACCTGACCATTCGGATGGGAGATTTGAATGTCAAGGTTGGAATGGACAACACTGGATATGAAGACATCATGGAATGACATGGACTTGGAGAAAGGAACGAAAATGGTGAGAGATTTGCAAACCTATGGGCCTTCAATAAACTGGTCATAGGTGGTACTATATTCCCACACAAATGCATTCACAAAACCACATGGACTTCACCGGGCTACACAACGCAAAACTAAATCGACCATATCTTCATCAACAATAAGTTCAGGAGGACGATGGAGGATGTGAGAACCGAGAGAGGAGCTGATATAGCCTCAGACCATCACTTGCTGGTCGCCAAAATGAAATTGAAACTCAAGAAGCACTGGACAACGGGGCAGACAACATCAAAAATGTTCAATACGGCCTTTCTCCTGACACTGACAAACTCAACGAATTCAAGATAGTCCTCAGCGATAAGTTCCAGGCCTTTCATGATTTACTCAATGGAGAGGGAACTACTATGGAGAACAATTGAAAAGGGGTAAAAGAGGCAATCACTTCAACATATCATGAGGTTCTGGACCACAAGAAGCACCATCACAAGGAATAGATCACTATTGATACACTGGATAAGATTCAAGAAAGGAGGAACAAGAAAGCAGCAATCAATATCAGTCGAACAAGAGCAGAAAAAGCCAAGTCACAAGCTGAATACACACAAGTAAATAAACAAGTGAATAGGAGCATCAGAACCGACAAACGTAGATATGTGGAAGGTTTAGTAATGACAGCGGAAAAGGCCGTGAGAGAAGGAAACATGGAAATCGCCGCAAACCAGAACGACCAGTGAAAAGCAAGGAAGGCGAGGTAATCACCAATATTGAAGAAACAGGTGGGTAGAACACTTCAGGGAATTTTTGAATCGACCAGTCCCACTGAACACACCCAATATTGAAGCGATATCCACGAACCTTCCAGTCGATGTTGGCCCACCAACAATTGAAGAGATCAGTGTTGGGTCGGCTTCCAGAGAACTTCAACGGAGCCTCCAGAGGCCCAAAAGGAGCCGAAGAGTCCTAGCCAATCAGAGTGTGATGGAACGTTCCAGAATTCCAACGTGGCGTGCTACTATTGGTCGGTAGCATAATGTGTTGTTATCGGATTGGCTGTAAATTGATGTTGATTTAACAGACGCCAAAATCTATAAATACCCATGATTTTCTGTACAAAAATGAACCTTGGAATAAAGTGTTTTCTCTCTTTCTTGTGTCTTCTCTCTGGAGTTCAAGTCGCTGTGTAGTTCTAGACTGCGGGTTACCGAAAAAGCTTAGGAACCGTATATAGCGTTCAACCTACACGACTTATCAGTGGCGACGGGGATGAAAACTTCAATGAATATTTCCTTGGAGCAATTAGAAGCTTATATGGTGCGTCAAGAAAAGAGGTTTGAAGAGTCCCATATTAGAATCATGGAAACCCTGATGCAGAAATTCTGCCTGTCCGAGAAAAACCCTGCTTCTAGTGAATCTCAAGTATCACATACTGATTCAGTCATTAACGCCATCCATGAATTTAATTTTGATGGTGTAGCAGGTGTAACTTTCGAGTCGTGGTTTAAGAAGTATGAAGATTTGTTTTATATTGATCTTTGCAAACTGGATTATGCTTCAAAAGTCAGAATACTTCTTAGAAAACTTGGGACTATGGAACATGAACGCTATAGCAACTTCATTCTTCCGAAGAACCCACGAGATTTTAGTTTTGATGATACAGTCAAAACCCTATCCCAAATCTTTGGAGAACAGTCATCTTTATTTAATATCCGTTACCAGTGCTTAAAGTTAACGAAAGAACCAGGAGATGACTGGGTGAAGCATGCAGGAACTGTGAACCGAGAATGTGAGAGATTTAGATTGTCGTCCATGTCTGAAGATCAGTTTAAATGCTTAGTATTTATCTGCAGCCTGCGTTCACCCGAAGATGCCGATATCCGAACCAGAATCCTAAGCAAACTCGAACACTGCCCTAATATGACCCTGCAAGAAGTGACTACTGAGTGCCAAAGGTTAGTAAACTTAAAGCATGATACCTCAATGGTAGAAAACGGTAACTGTTTCCATAACGTCAATGCAGTCAAGAGAAAAGTCTTTCAAGGTTCCAGTACCCAGAATTTCCAAAATAACAGCGACAAACCATCATCTCCATGCTGGGCATGTGGAGGTTGGCACTATAAGAGGTTTTGCCCACATAAAGAACATCGTTGCAGCAAATGTAATCGGAAGGGGCATAAAGAAAACTTCTGCAGGAGAAGAGACTATAGAAAACGTTCCGTGAAATCTTACTCAAAGAAATACAGATATAGTGCTCCAACCAACAAGATATTGGTATCACATAACAGAGCACGAAGTTGCCACCAAAGAAAGTATGTGACCTTGAATATTAATAAACACCGTGCCCGCCTTCAGCTGGACACAGCTTCTGATATTACTTTAATCAGCCCAGAAACGTGGAAGAACATTGGGAGACCCACAGTTTTCCCAACAACACAGCTGGCACACAGTGCATCTGGGGGGAAGTTGAATATTGTTGGAGAAATACCATGCACTGTTTCTAAAGGTACGGTAACAAGAAATGCAACATTGTATCTCACTAAGAAGCCAGCACTAGACTTAATGGGGTTGGACCTTATAGAAACACTTAAACTAGCAGATCATTCTATCAACAGTATCTGCAGACGAGTAAGTACAGACAACATCCCAGAATGGAATCAGAAAAACGCCATGCTACAAAGACATCAAAACGTGTTTAGAGAAGGATTGGGAGAATGTACGAAAGCTAAAGCACTGTTAACTTTAAAACCTGAAGCTGCTCCCGTTTTTCGACCTAAAAGACCCGTACCCTATGCTGCTCTTCCAATAGTTGAACAAGAATTACAACGACTTCAGCAAATGGGTGTTATCGAGCCTGTGAACTTCTCGAATTGGGCTGCACCAATAGTAGTGGTCAAGAAGTCGAATGGAAGTGTTCGTTTATGTGCAGACTACTCCACGGGATTAAATGAAGCGCTACAGTCTCACCAGTATCCGTTACCCTTACCAGAAGATCTTTTCGCTAAGCTGAACGGTGGCAGATATTTTGCAAAATTGGACTTATCAGACGCATACCTACAAATTCCTGTATCTGATGAAAGCAAAGATCTCTTAACGATCAACACGCACAAAGGTCTGCTCCGGTATAACCGACTACCTTTTGGGGTAAAGACAGCGCCCTCTATTTTCCAGCAAATTATGGATACCATGTTACAAGGTATTCCAGGAGCTGCAGCTTACCTAGACGACATCATAATTACGGCAGTAGATAAAATGGACCTGCAGAAGAAACTGGACCAGGTACTAGAACGCATAGCTGATTATGGTTTTCGCCTCCGAGCGGAAAAGTGTGACTTCTATATGCAGCAAGTACGGTACCTTGGGTTCATAATAGATAAAGACGGAAGACGACCAGATCCAGAGAACATTGAAGCAGTGAAAACAATGCCTAGACCCAGGGACGTTAATACCCTACGATCATTCTTGGGATTGGTCAGTCATTACGGTACCTTTCTCCCCGATCTCCATCGTCTACGTGCTCCACTAAACAACCTACTACAAAAGAACACAAGATGGAATTGGTCTGCAACTTGCCAAGTCGCTTTCGATGAAATCAAGAAAGTACTAGTCTCGGATCTGCTGCTCACCCATTACGATCCATCCTTACCCATTGTAGTGGCATCAGACGCATCAAACTACGGCATAGGAGCAGTTATTTCTCACATCATGCCAGATGGATCCGAGAAAGCGATATCACATGCGGCTAGATCGTTAACGTCAGCAGAACGTAACTATAGTCAGATCGAGAAGGAAGCATTGTCGATTATCTTCGCTGTCAAGAAATTTCACAAGATGATATTTGGACGTCAGTTCACCCTATTAACTGACCATAAACCATTACTAGCCATCTTTGGGTCGAAGAAAGGTATACCTGTATACACCGCAAACAGACTGCAACGATGGGCAACCACACTTCTGGGTTATGACTTCAAGATCAAGTACCAGCCCACTACTGACTTTGGACAAGCTGACGCTTTATCTAGACTGATTGGTTCACAAGTAAAACAGAAAGAAGACACTTTGGTGGCAGCAATCGAGACTGAAACAGA